ACTCAGGTGACCGCTAAGGCCCTTGGGCCTCTTGTTTAAATAACCAAAGGGAGTAGGGTCATTAAAGTTGGCCACTAACATGTTGGTATGAATGACTTTCAAGTTCAAATGAATGACCTTGACCCACTTTCTAGGTCATAGGTAAACCAAGAGGTATAGATTTGTATTTATCCGCGAGGATAATGGGAGGAAGGGCCCTTATATTTACTAAATAAATGACTGAACCAAACGGCAACTGCTGAATAACTAAGACTGGTATTGTCATAACATTACGCCTGTTGCATGCTGGGACAAAGGGCTGTCAAGTCAGCTCAAATGAATGACCATGACCTGATCTGGCAAGTACACCACGAGGAATATCCATAACAAACATGAACTATCCAAATCAACGCAAAACTGCCTACATGAAGTCTCAATGTCTATATTATTGTAACAACAAAAGAGACAGTGTGAGTGATAACAGCATTACAGTGATGAAGGTGTACAGTGATACAGTGATGAAGGTGTACAGTGAAACAGGTGTACAGTGATGAAGGGTTACAGTGATGATGGGTAACAGTGATGATGGGTAACAGTGATGAAGGTGTACAGTGATGAAGGGTTACAGTGATGAAGGTGTACAGTGATGAAGGTGTACATTGATGAAGGGTTACAGTGATGATGGGTAACAGTGATGAAGGTGTACAGTGATGAAGGGTTACAGTGATGAAGTGTAACAGTGATGAAGGGTAACAGTGATGAAGGTATACAGTGATGAAGGTGTACAGTGATGATGGGTAACAGTGATGATGGGTAACAGTGATGAAGGGGAACAGTGATGAAGGTGTACAGTGATGAAGGTATACAGTGATGAAGGGTTACAGTGATGATGGGGAACAGTGATGAAGGTGTACAGTGATGAAGGTGTACATTGATGAAGGGTTACAGTGATGATGGGTAACAGTGATGAAGTGTTACAGTGATGAAGGTGTACAGTGATGAAGTGTTACAGTGATGAAGGGTAACAGTGATGAATGTGTTCAGTGATGAAGTGTTACAGTGATGAAGGTGTACAGTGATGAAGGGGTACAGTGATGAAGGTGTACAGTGATGAAGGGTTACAGTGATGATGGGTAACAGTGATGAAGGTGTACAGTGATGAAGGTGTACAGTGATGATGGGTAACAGTGATGAAGGGTAACAGTGATGAAGTATTACAGTGATGAAGTGTACAGTGATGAAGTGTTACAGTGATGAAGGGTAACAGTGATGAAGGTGTACAGTGATGAAGGTGTACAGTGATGAAGTGTTACAGTGATGAAGGTGTACAGTGAGGATGGATAACAGTGATGGAGGGTAACAGTGATGATGGGTAACAGTGATGAAGGGTAACAGTGATGAAGGGTAACAGTGATGAAGGTGTACAGTGATGAAGGGTAACAGTGATGAAGGGGTACAGTGATGAAGGTGTACAGTGATGATGGGTAACAGTGATGGATGGTAACAGTGATGATGGGTAACAGTGATGAAGGGTAACAGTGATGAAGGTGTACAGTGATGAAGGTGTACATTGATGAAGGGTTACAGTGATGAAGGTGTACAGTGATGAAGGTGTACACTGATGATGGGTAACACTGATGAAGGGTAACAATGATGAAGGGTAACAGTGATGAAGGTGTACAGTGATGATGGGTAACAGTGATGAAGGGTAACATTGATGAAGGTGTACAGTGATGAAGGGTTACAATGATTAAGGGTAACAGTGATAAAGGGTAACAGTGATGAAGGTGTACAGTGATGAAGGGTTACAGTAATGAAGGGTAACAGTGATGAAGGGTTACAGTGATGAAGTGTTACAGTGATGAAGGTTTACAATGATGAAGGGTAACAGTGATAAAGGGTAACAGTGATGAAGGTGTACAGTGATGAAGGGTAACAGTGATGAAGGTTAACAGTGATGAAGTGTTACAGTGATGAAGTGTACAGTGATGAAGGGTAAAAGTGATGAAGGGTAACAGTGATGAAGGTTTACAATGATGAAGGGTTACAGTGATGAAGTGTTACAGTGATGAAGGGTTACAGTGATGAAGGGTAACAGTGATGAAGGTGATACAAGATAGGATATGGTGAAATAATAAGGGAATTCACATGATGGACATAATGTATAAAACATTTGTATCATACAGTATGTAGAAACATCAAAAAAGTTAAATATGTCATAAATAACAGGCACAATGATGAGAGTGGTCCCAAGTTTAGTGAATACTGACTTTTATTCATTTTTAACAAATGTGATCTACAAAAATACAAAAATAATTCACCAATATGACATAAATGTTTAGCTATAAGTTCACTTAGAAAGTTATATGACTTGCCCAACATCAAATAGTCCTGGTTTATAAGTAAAATTAAGTTCAGTGATGATCTGTTTAAAAACAGCAACAAAGTCTTTTATATAATAAACAACAAACCAGGTATTGGAACAGGCAGGTTTAACTTTACAACTATAAAGTTCACCAAGAGTACCTGAGGTCATATTGATGATTACTTGTGTTAAATACAAACTAATTTCGCCATTCTGTTCATGATCGTACATTTTATGAAGTATTACATACAAATTAAAATGTCAAAAATGGAGATAAGAAAATTAGTTTATAAAAAATGCACTATATAAAAATTAATGGGACATAGCAACTTTGGTGTATTTCTCTGACACACCGTTCACAACACGGTGAAGACTAGTGAGTAATGCTGCCGCAATGCGACAAATGATATGTACCGTAGTGTCCAGCACCTGTGGCATCATTCCAATCACACTCCCCTGTAATGTGCTTTCTGGTAATAAAAATAAAAAATCTAGTTTTCCATTCGTTTTGCAACATAAAATTCAAAAAGGAGAAAAAATTGTGATTCTTAAAATGTTATTTAAGTTTTTAACATATCATAATTTAAGTTTTTAACATACTAAATAAATGTATTTGACCCCTGTGACTTTGAATGTCTTTCAATATCATTATATGAGGGCACTTATTAGCAATCAACCTAAGAAGGATACTGGCCATTTATCATGACCCTGGACCTTTTGTAATTTAAGGATAAGAATGAACTTGTTCCCATTATAATAGCCCATGTATAGATATTCGAGCATGACCAGCACACAAAGTTAGCCTTTGACCGAAATACATTATAGAGAGAAAAACAAGGAAAAAGATTTGCACTGCTGGTCTACCTTATATACCCTAGGCTAGTATAATTCCATTAGACCCTGTAATTATTTAGAAAATGCTTTTAACTTATTGGACACCTGTGACCTTGAGAAGTAAGTCAATGTCATTTATATGAAGACACACACTCCATCCCAAGTACACAGGACCCAGATAATTAAGTAGTATTTTCATATCTGATGATCGACACATGTTAATTTTGATGATACTTTTGAATTTTTATGAAAGACTTTTTTTATCTGTTTCCTTTTTCATTTGTAGTATATTTTTTGTTTATGAAATCGGGTAAAAAAACACACAAAAATGCATTCAGAATTAGGGTCAAATTTCAGAGGTAAAAGCCCCAGTTTCACTGAGCAAATAATTTATGAGTGAATCATAAGTTAAGACATTTTAACACACCATAATTGAGGTAATTCAGAACTGTCTAATGTTTCATGAAAGGAGAATAAAAAACTCCTGAGAGCACAGCCTAAATAAGAAGTAGTGAACCTACACAGCCAGATGTTACTGAGGAACATAGACACAGGGGAGACAACCTCAGTTGTATTAAGCTAGTATACAATCTCCGACTGTAACCTTATTTAATAGTTCTTCTGGTAACAATATGAAATAATTGATCCCCCTTAAGAAATGGACATGTAACAAAACAACAACAGCACTGCGTAACAAAGCGTTTTATGTTGGTGATATACTGGTGGCACGGAAATAGACGCATGATTTGGAGTAGCGACATGTCACTAGCCACTATGATTTGGAGTAGCAACATGCCACTAGCCACTATGATTTGGAGTAGCGACATGTCAGTATCCATTATGATTTGGATTGGCGACATGTGTGTAGCCATTATGATTTGTAGTAGCGGCATCCCATTAGCCATTATGATTGGAAGTAGCGACATGTCGTTAGCCATTATGATTTAAAGTAGCGACATGTCAGTAGCCATTATGATTTGGAGTAGCGACATGACACATGCCACTATGATTTGGAGTAGCGACATGTCAGTAGCCATTATGATTTGAAGTAGCGACATGTCAGTAGCCATTATGATTTGTAGTAGCGACATGTCAGTAGCCATTATGATTTGGAGTAGCTACATGTCAGTAGCCATTATGATTTGGAGTGGCGACATGTCACTAGCCACTATGATTTGGAGTAGCGATATGTCACTAGCCACTATGATTTGGAGTAGCGTCATGTCAGTAGCCATTATGATTTGGAGTAGAGACATGTCATTAGCCACTATGATTTGGAGTAGCGTCATGTCAGTAGCCATTATGATTTGGAGTAGAGACATGTCATTAGCCACTATGATTTGGAGTAGCGTCATGTCACTAGTCATTATGATTTGGAGTAGCGACATGTCAGTAGCCATTATGGTTTGGAGTAGCGACATGACACATGCCACTATGATTTGGTGTAGCGACATGTCAGTAGCCATTATGATTGGGAGTAGCGACATGTCAGTAGCCATTATGATTGGGAGTAGCGACATGTCACTAGCCATTATGATTGGGAGTAGCGACAAGTCACTAGCCACTATGATTTGGAGTAGCGACAAGTCACTAGCCACTATGATTTGGAGTAGCGTCATGTCACTAGCCATTATGATTTGGAGTAGCGACATGTCAGTTGCCATTATGATTTGGAGTAGCGACATGTCAGTAGCCATTATGATTTGGAGTAGCGACATGTCAGTAGCCATTATGATTTGGAGTAGCGACATGTCACTAGCCACTATGATTTGGAGTAGCGACATGTCGCTAGCCACTATGATTTGGAGTAGAGACATGTCACTAGCCACTATGATTTGGAGTAGCGACATGTCACTAGCCACTATGATTTGGAGTAGCGACATGTCACTAGCCATTATGATTTGGAGTAGCGACATGTCAGTAGCCATTATGATTTGGAGTAGAGACATGTCACTAGCCACTATGATTTGGAGTAGCGGCATGTCACTAGCCATTATGATTTGGAGTAGTGATATGTCACTAGCCACTATGATTTGGAGTAGCGATATGTCACTAGCCACTATGATTTGGAGTAGCGACATGTCACTAGCCACTATGATTTGGAGTGGTGGAAAATGATTCTAATATTTACTGCAAGGTTTCAACAACAGCGCTTTCAGTTCTTACAAATGGAATTTCAAAGAATTTTGCTTATGTTTCTTTTTTCCTCAAAATAAAATGTTGCATTCTTAATTGTAACAAAACGAAGGAAAACATTAAAATGCAAGCAGAAAAAACAACATCTATATTTTGTAACTCGGGAAAGTTGAATTATTGTTATGATTTGTTGATATGTTCTTTTTAACAGCCATGAATGAGGCAAGGTGCATTTGTTTCTTGTCAACTGTTTAAAACATTCTGGTAATATGAATTTGATACTTATCACCCAACACACCATAGGCCAGATGATTTGGTCGACTTGTTGCTGTCACAAAGTTCAATATACTGGTCATTTAGCAAAGAGCCTTAACTGTAATTATGTATAATTCAGCAATCCTGTTTTTTGATATACCCATCTTCATATGATTCTTATCACTAACACCAAAATCTCCACCAAATTTCGTCAGAAACTGTGGAACTATTTGCAGCCAAAAGGTTATCAAGACAAACAGATGGACAAATTGACAACAATATTATGCAATGCTGTTGATGGGTGAATAAAATAGTCTTCTTGAAATAAATTTAGCACTTATTGAGTTAAAAGTCTGTCACTCTATCATTCAATGCAGATGACAAACTTTACTCTCAAATATAGAATGTTAGCCTTGGTCTCCTACATATGGATTTTTAATGTTTGTTTAAACATGAAAATCTGTCTTAAATACACGACCAAAAAAGTTTCAAGTATATTTAATTCACTTCCTTTGAGATGCTTTAAAATGGTGTCACTGTTCACTTTTCAGTTTGATACATTAAAGAATCCTCCTTGTAAGCAATCACAAGCGTAAGACTTTTGGTGCAGCTATAATAAACTTGCTGTCCATTTGTAAAAAAAAAAAGCCACAGGTTTCATGACAGTCAGAGCAAGTGACCATATTATTGAATGGGTAATGAATCAAAAAATCACAAAAAATCAGGTCAAGCAGGTTTGGAAGTACTATTGTAGAGTAGTCCATATTCCTCAGTCGTAGAGGATGATGAGTGTTGAGTGGTCTGGAGTGATAGTGATGGGTAATCAGTATTTCTGAGTCATGATGACTACTGAGCGTTTTTCTGAGTCATAATGAGTGCTGAGCAGCTTGGAGTAATAGTGATTGGTTTTCAGTATTCCTCAGCCATGATGAGGACCACGAGAGCTGACCAGCCCGTGAAGGGATGACTACCCTTCCCCGAGCCGTACTTATCATTGTACTGTTCCCAAACATAACCTGTTCTTCTGTATTCTTTGAAAATATTCTGTACAACATTTTGTCGTAAACTCTTGTATGTAGATTTCGCTAGGTCCTGATATTTGCCGGGTGTAACAGAATAGTGGTGAAGAGCTCCGATAGCCAAATAGTTCATGTTTATCCAAATCGCACCTCTCCAATATGGCGGATCATGTTCAGTGTTATAACGATTATATAAATATGCATTTTTTGACAATGACCTTAAACCATAGTCGGTCCAGAGAAATTCTGTTTTTTTTAATTTTGCTATAGTCTGCAACAACTTAACAGATTCAGGTTCAATAATTCGAAGTAGGAATGGAAAAAGACTAACATAACCGTAAGAGTCGACAAACTTATACACAGGATCCTTTATGACAGCTCTGATCTTGTCCATTTGTGGAACTGGTTGTCCAGGCTGCAGGTTTGCCGGGGGTTTAGGACGTTGTAACTGGACTTTATCTGTGTGAAGTCCGTAGTCTGAGTATTGCTGCTTCTGGGAGGACCAGTGCATTTCATCCAGCAATTTATTATCCGTTAACAGTCGATGTGTGGCTTTGTATTCTGTTGAATCTTCTCCAAGTGCATTAGCAATGTCAGCCATCAATCCAGATGCAAATGCCATCCAGCATCGCAGATCAACATGGCGTTCATCCTCCGAGGGATGGGATGACCGTGGGTAGTCATCCAGACCAGAGGTAAGGGTTTTGGGGTTCAGTTCTTTGTTGGTCTTTGAGTCACGCCCCCTCCATCGGTACGTTAGAGGTAATCTGCCTGACTGTGTTGAATTGTACCAATTGTACCAAACTTTCAGACGTGGGTACACAAATTTCAAGAACGCTTGATCTTTGGGGTCATCTGATGTTGATATTTGGTCAATAATTCTTTGTAGGGGCAAGAATAATGTCGGCGGGTTTGCATTTTCGTTTCTCTGAACTACAAACTCCTGTGGAACTCTTGCTTGTGCTTCAATTCCAAGAATTTGCTCTCTCGGAATCCAGCCTTCAGTGTTCATTAAATCCAACCAATGAGAAATGATGTCTTTAGATATTTCAATGTCCCATCGACTGATCAGTAGATTATGGAATCCTTCATCCCACAGGAAACCACGAGGGAAAAATGATCTTGAAGGAACAGCAGTGTACAATGGCGCTGGCCAGTATTCCACAGGGTCCACATTATAGCGAGACTGGACAAGGGATGATCCATAAAAATAGCCGATGCTACCTAGCATATTACTGAGAGCAGCTTTAGCGAAGTTAGTCTCGTCCTGGCTGTAGCCTTTACCTTCCAGATTAAAAGTGGCGGAAAATTTATCGTCGAATCCCTGTGAGTATTTTGCCAGTTCCTTTAAGAATATTTCATCAGACAATGTATCAGGTCTGTCAAGTACACTTCCAGACTCAAAGATGATTTCCATTTCAAACGGGAGCTGAACTGTGACCTGCTGGACCATGACATTAGGTCCCCCGGGACTGTCCCGTGGTACGAGTCGACCTCCGAGCACAAAGTAAGCCTGAGTGCGTTGTTTGTCCCAGGCCTCTACCTTCATAGCGTTCGTGACCACATCTTTTAGCTGATCTAGTCGTGATACATAAGTGATGAGATGGCTGTATTTAGTTTGTGTCTTTGTTTTTGTCTTTGGGAAATGTAAAGTAAAATCGCCAAGTTCCTCAGAATGACCTCTGACGGCACTGAATCTACCTTTTGACATGTCCGGTTCCAGACCGCCTTGACCGTCCAGGGCCACGTAGTACATGAGTGACAGGACGACTGGTTTCTTCTGATCCTGTAACACATACTACATATATATATCATCTTTCAAAAATAGATCATGACCGGGGTATACCAAAAAGTCATCATGACCTATAACACAGCTTAATGAACACTAATGCAGCTTAACAGTTAACACAATGTTACTGCAAACACAACTAACAAGGGAATGTAGCTCAAAAGTAAAACCGGAAGTAAAGTGCAACCAGTTAAAATGAAATCATACCGGTTTGTTGTAATGACCCAGAAAATGGAATTACAAGAGTATGTAGAGTACGTTATACTCTCGTCCCCAACTTTGTTGAAAAGAGCGCAGTCATTTATCTGTTTTTGTGAATAGAAGATATTCTGCAAACTGGGGTGGGGGGTGGATGGGGGTGGGGGGTTATAAAATTGAAATACTCTTTAACAATTACATCACATTTTTAAACAAAATTGAAATGCAATATGAAACAAATAAATTTTTAGATTCGCAAATAGTCCTTTAGAAGAATTGTTAATGATTCGCAAATAGTCCTTTAGAAGAATTATTAATGATTTACAAATATTCTTAGAAGAATTATTAATGGATTAATGGATGATATTATGTTGAATAATATTGTAACAGCGAAATTTAAGTCTGAGAATGTTTAATAATTACCATAGATATTTTGTGGAGAAGTGTCAAAGGCATTGCATTTAAAAATTAAAGGGCAATAACCCTCTTAAAAAAGACCTGATAAAAACAGGTATTAAACTTAGGCATTTAACCTTCTTCCCAAGTTTGAAGTTTATCAGTTATTACTTATTAAAGATATTGAGCAGACACAGAAAACTTAACTGACATATGTGACATATGTAAATTATAGGGCAATAACTCTTTTAAAAAAGACCTGATCAAAACAGGTATGGAACATAGGCAAGATTTTATAGCATTTAAGCCTTTTACAAAGTTTCAATTTAATCCGTTCATAGTTAATAAAGATAATGAGCAGACACCAAAAAGTTTACGGAACGACTTACGGACAAACAGCCAGAGGGGATACCATAATACATCAAGGGTAGAAGGGTACATAATATATGCATCATCATCAATGTGGGAGTCAGAATGATAGTATGCATAACAGGGCTATGGTATGAAGAAATAGGGAGCAATGTTTGGAATGAGATCAGTTTGGAATGAAAAATAAATGCTACATTTGTTTTGAACACAAACAGTCATGAATTGAAAACTTTCGACAATGCCTGTTTGTCAAGCAAAGAGAAAGGGAAACTGATCCCTGCTTATATATATGTGCCCAAAGATGTTTCAAACCAAATTCCTTCAAATCAACCATCCATTATCACAAAGTCATACTATCTGCACACAATGTTTTAAAATATATTTTGTTACTTTTAAATATTATAACTGCATGCATTTCGTTCTCGATTTGGTTGGTTTTAATACAGATAGAAACTTTATTTCATTGCACCGTTGTAGAGGTGTGGAACAGTCTACCCGATAATGTGGTCAATTCTCCAACTGTGGACACTTTTAAGAACAGACTGAATAAATTCTGTTCGGATCACCCAACAAAATTCCACGCAAGTTGTTATTCCTGACATTAGTAGGTCTATCTATACGCACCAGGAGTGAAAAATGTTTTTAACAACTATTTAAACATATATTCAAATGTGCCACAAGAAGCTCACAGCTTTCAATTACTGTCATCGCTATATGAACTATATGAATTGCTTTTTCATTTACCGTCAGTAACTATTGTTTTTGGCCCTATTTTGTATATTTTGGTCCATTTTCAGTCTGATTTGATACTTTCTACAGGTAAGTTGGACAGAAGTTGATAACCCAGTAACCCACATTTTAACTCCTAGACAGGTTCCATTCCTTTCTGAAAAATATATATTTCCTAAAAGTTTTGTAATAGGAGCGAAAAAATGGCATAACTTAGGACTGGGATTTGAACCTGGGAACTTTAAACGGATCCTCTACCAACTGAGTTACCATGTCGCCAGCCATCCACCCAGTCAATTTCTGCTACAGTACATTAGAAATATTTATTTCTCATTCACCATGGCATAGGTACCAATGATTAGTATGTTACTTATTCTAGTTTATCAAACAAAACACATCTAACATTTATTTTGCATTTTTCGAAGGACATGCCTCCCGACGACAACATACCACATTTGTTGCCACAACTCTCGCAGTCCAGTCTCCTCCATGTAATCCACCAGCTCTCTTGACGAATTCTGTTCTCAAAACAAAGCCATTATCTTCAATTTCTTGAACGCCAAAATTCCTTCCATCATGCTTAAGCCAACCATACTTTTTCAGCTGGTCGCCCTGGTCACACCAATGTCGGATCGGAGGTGGCATCTTCCCTGTTAGCTGCTGTAGCCACATAAGCCCAAACACCGGTGATCGGGGAGTTCTCGCTTTCATTCCAAAGTACAAGTTTGATCGATAGGTCCCCCAATATCTTTCCGGATCGACGATTGCACTTGAGCTGTTGGCTGCATTGATTTTAGACACGGATAGAGGTGTATTAACGATGCCTTTGCAATATTGTAAATAAGCGAAATACCCGACTCCGCATGCTACAATGCCAACAAACACAAGTCCAGCAATCATCGCAGTTCCACCAACTGCATCGGCTTTCTTTTTGCTTTCTCCAACGCCATTTTCTGCATCTTTTCCTTTTTGTCTGGTTCCAGCGCGTCGTCTAACGTCATTGCTACCTGCCATCACACACTATCTGGTGTAATAACACTGTTTTAACGTACAACATTGACGGAGGTCTCCTCCTGGTAATTCGTTCGCCGACGTGGTCAGCATTTGCTCAATGTCAGTTCTAAGCATATGCTGTGGTACGCTTACACGTAGAAGTAAAACGCATTAGTGACCAGGATAACAAGCGTGTGTAATTTGATACGGATTGATAAAATTCCCGTTCCCTTTTTCCGGATTTAAAATATGGAATGCTAACACTTGATAACGTTACAAACTTGAAATTTGCAGCCACACGGATATTGATTTGTTTTGAGTAAACTGAAAAATGATAACTTTAAATTCATTTTATCGATCATTTACTCGCAATGAATTCTTAAAGCAAATTAGCATTATATTATAGACATGTATATATACGAAAAGTGATCAATCGTATTCGACCTTCCTTACTTAACACCCGCCCTCCCGCCCCCGAAAAAAGGTGTATAATAGTAATATCACGGAATTAGATTATCTAAGTCCGTGATCATATTAAATGCAAGTCTGATGCGTTTTTTTCAGTAAATAGTATGAGTAAACTGAAAGCCGCCATTTGTTTGTTGCGATATTATTGTGAGCTAGGAAACGTTTACAGCAGAATAAGAATAAGGCTTGAACAATTGAAGTGGTGAATACACGATGTTTATTGGAGCACACTGAGAACTGTAAGTTGAAGACGGTTAGATTGAAATTCTCTGCATCACGTGGGATACGTGTATCGAAACGCACTCCCAAACATTCATGTTTGAAAGGGATACAGCGATCGAAAAATACATTTTTACTTTTAAAATGTATATTGATTGATAAAGTTAATATAGTGAGTAACAATGTTTAACAAGAAAATCGATCTGCGTTTTTGTAATTGTGTTATTAACTTTATAATTGTGCGTATAAACAAAAAAATGCACACAACCACAGTCTGCTCGTCAAGTGATCTTGTTTCTTACGTTTTGTCACACTTAGATTTAGTCCAGTGTTTTTTCCTGTAACAGCAGCAGCAGCAGCAGCTCTAGTGCTGTTGATTTTATCTGACCAGGGGATTATTTTACAAGAAAATGATGTTATAGTATCAAACTAAAAGATGTGTGTGATGTTTTTAATGATTTATTTTACAAATGTTGCCAGTGATATTGGTACTGATCTGGAAGGTGTCACTGATTTTAATATTTATTTTAAATATAGAAACTTCAAATGTAAATATTGGGAGAGACAGTTTTACTTTTCAACATGTTAGTGAGACTGAAATGAAAAAAAATGTTGTCGTCTTTGGATACTAAAAAGGCAACGGGGGTAGATGGGATCTCGGTCAAGATTCTGAAACCGAGTTCTGGTATTTTTACCTCAATATTAATGTGTCTCATTTCCCAAACAGTATTTTACCAACTATATCAAAGATTTTTGAAAGAATTTTACATGATCAACTTAGTGACTTTTTTGATGCGACCTCTTGAGGGTTGGAGACAGGCCTTGGATAACCGACAATATGTCGGCGCTATAGTGATGGACCTGTTCAAGGCCTTCGACTGCATTCCTCATAACCCGTTACTGGGTAAGATGCGAGCCTATGGGCTGTGTGAGAACGCTATGTACCTCATCAGTAGCTTCCTTAGTGACAGGCAGCAGCAGATCAGGCTGGGTCTGGAGGTGAGCGAATGGCGGAATGTCAAAAAGGGGGTCCCCCAGGGCTCGATTGTAGGGCCAGTATTTTTTTAATATTTTTATCAATAATATGTTTGGTTTTGTAAATTAATATTTACTGTATAATTTCGCAGATGATAATACTTTATCAAATGTAAGTAACTGCCTTGACACTTTAAAGAGAACTCTGGAGGAGGAGAGCAAGACGCTAATAGATTGGTTTTCCTCCAATGGTATGAAGGCCAATCCGGGTAAATTCCAGGCTACTTGTATTGGAAAGAAAACCCATTAAGCAATATCATCTTTAATTTTAGCATTGATGGGGTAGAGATTTTATGTCAAGACTGTGTCAAGCTTTTCTATCTTGTATGCTGTTCACAATCCTCTGGGAATTATTCCGAACAGGTAATAATTTTAGATGTAGATATTGATTTCCTTCTTAAATTTGATGTACATATCTCTCATTTATGTAGGAATGCATCCAAGTAATTAGCAGTTTTAAAGAGATTAGGTAGTCATCTTACAAAGAAGGAAAAGATTACTATTTTTCAGTCTTTTATCCTATCTAATTTTAACTACTGTCCTTTGGCTTGGCACTTTTGTAACCTGACAAACACGAGAAAGATGGAGAAGATCCATGAGAGGGCTATACGTTTTATTGAAATGACTACACGTCATCAGTTTTAGAAATATTGAAAGAAACAAGCTTGATTTGTTAAAAAAATATGGCCATAGAAACTTTCAAGATTATAAATGGCACTTCACCATCATTTTTACATGATCTTATTGAACAAAGAAATGTTTTATATAATTTTAGAAGAGAGGACACTCTGAAGATTCCAAGAGTGAATATCACAATGTATGGCAAGAGATCGTTTAGATTTGAGGCGGCCCGGGTGTGGAACAGTCTGCTAATGGAGTACAGAAAGATAGAGGACTACCAAACTTTTCGCAGACTGCTCCGCACCTGGGATGGCCAACTATGCTCTTGTGCAATTTGCACAAACACATAGAGATATTCATCTAAGATCTTTTGTGATATTATTTCTACTTTATATGTGATGTGTAATGTCAGAGACGTATATATACGTCTCTGGTATGTGTAAATTTGTGTCTCTCTTCCTTTTTAGTATTCTGTGATTTTTGTTGTTAAATTACTTAATATGTGTATACCTATGTTTGTCGCAAGAATAGCACTACAGTGCTAATGTTATTTTGTTTGTAATATGCGACGGTAAATAAAATTTCCTGAATCTTGAATTTGTTTAGGTGTCTACACTAGCTACTTGTAACAGACTCTTTGTCTGCCTTTTTTGGCATCAACAAGAGTTATCTTCCTTTGACTGCTTCTAGAACAACACCCAGTCGAAAGAGCTTGTTCCGATTATCATAACATCCGTAATAGATATTGACCTCGGACGGACGCACTTACAACACGGAATTTTCTAAGATGCAGGTTGATGAATACTATGGACAAATTAAATGGGCGCCATCATGATCTCATTGGAAACTATGCTATTTCTATGTGTGATAGGAAAGATAGATATTTTATTGTGGTCATTAGTGTGCCTCGTTGTGTTATCACTACCCAAGTTCTCACTAGGAGTAGATTAACATGGCGGACGTCATCTATGTGGCAGACCCGACGCTAACCCTTCCGAAACACATGGTCTTATTCTCCTTGTACTTTTTTTCAACGACCGATGTAAATCTGTCCTTTGTTTATTCATTAGGAGTTTAAATTACGATTTTGTTGACACATCGGTATTATCTTTTTTTTCTCTCTCTCACACAATCAGTCCAACCTGTAATGATGGACGATAATAGTTTACTATGTATAGATGTATATCATATCAATACTCTTATAAGTCTGTACTTGCTGATCTGATATTTAGAGCCAACCGAACTGTTAGATTATGAGTCAAATGTTCGAACGGGATATCACCATGCATCCGAAATATCAATAATTTTGGAATCTGCTGTCATAGAGAAATATTATCAATTTGAATATCTATAGACGTACAGCTTAATTAGTCGATCAGAGTTACTGCAGTATCTATGTATCCTGAATTTTCATAAAATACAAATAATCTAAAACCCACATCTAACACTTTACTGGTCAGTTGGAGCCACTACATCACACAATTGTTTTTTTTCCTGTCTACCTAAACCACCGAGTTAGTAACGAAATTGGTCTGTTTGAGATATGTTATTCCTTATAACCTCCCGGACAAGGAGGGGCCCCGGTGGTCAAGTGGTTAAGGCGTCTGATTTTCTGCTACTACTAGCCCTCCACCTCTGGGTAGCGGATTCAAGACCTACGTGGGGCAGTCGCCGGGTACTGGACGTCGGTCGTCGTTTTTTTGGGGGGAACTCCGGCTTTCCTCCACCAACAACAAGAGTACCATAGGGCGGAACAATATACGCCCGTCAAATGCCATATAGTGTTATATACTACTGCATTAAAATAAGATTTGCATCACCTTAAGAGTGGCTAGCTAGCATGCTATAAATCTCACCTTTCACTACAAAGTCAATGTTCGATTTTTCTTTAATTTTCTAAGTTTGAGGAAAACAAGTAATCAAAAGATTAGTCTCCAACTCATTAAACACAACTTGATAGCATGATTATAAAGCCTACTAATTTCAAGTTTCAAAGAAATTGATAGAAAACTGTAGAAGGAGATCTCCGGACAAGATTCAAGTGCTAGAAATAAACAAAGGGCAATAACTTCTGCAAAAATAGTCGAATCAATTGAAACATAACTATATATCATGACAATAAAGCCTACCAAGTTTCAAAGAAATCGATCAAAAAATGTAGGAGATCTACGGACGAAAAAAACCAAATACTGAAATAAACAAAGGGAAATATTTTTTGCAAATATAGTTGAATCAAAACTCTGTTTAGCGAAACACAACTTCATATCATGATTATAATGTATGCAAAGTTTCAAATATATCGGTCGAAAAATGTAGGAGAAGATTGCCGGACAAAAATCAAATACTGAAATAAACAAAGGGAAATAATTTTTGCAAAAAAAGTTGAATCAAAATTCTTTTCAGGGAGGAAATACAACTTCATATCATAATTATAATGTATACCAAGTTTCAAAGAGATCGGTCGAAAAATGTAGGAGAAGATTGCCGGACAAAAATCAAATACTGAAATAAACAAGGGCAATTACCTTTGCAAAAATTGTTAAATCAAAATTCTTTTTAGGGAAACACAACAACATATCTGGATTATAAAGTCTACCAAGTTTCAAAGAAATCGATCAAAAGATGTAGGAGAAGATCTCCAGACAAAAAAACAAATACTGAAATAAACAAAGGGAAATAACTTTTGAAAAAAAAGTTGAATCAAAATTCTTTTCAGGGAGGAAACACAACTTCATATCATGATTATAAAGTATACCAAGTTTCAA